GAATCGTATCCCGTAGTCATTGAATTGTGCAGAGGAAAACAAATGTTGAAGTAACCCTCTACAGTCTAAAACAAAATAGGACTTCACAACAAAGGTTGACTTGTTCGAAATCACAAAAACTCAAAACGATTTGTTTAAAAAGTAGAAACTAGACATCACAAAACGATAAAAGACCGAGTCTGTCGACCATTACCTTAATTATTTTATTTAATTGTTAAAATAATGTACCACACAAATCGTTTTTTTGTTTGTTTTTGTTCCAATGTCCCAGAACTCGTTGCCTTCGATCGTATTTGGTAGTTATGTTTACCTGATACTGTATTCTTTTTTTTTTTCCCAAAAGTTACTTGATATTCATATTAGATTTTGTTCATTTGAAACACTTACATAGTCCGAATCATCATTATAAATTTTAAAATTACCGATCAGTGATATATTTTAAAATTCTTTTTTTTAAACTATATTTTAAAATTATTGAGAATAGTTCTAGAATTTTTTTCTTTACAATTACCCCTCTTTTCCGACTAGTACCACTTCTCGGCATATAGGTGAAGAATATTGTTCGATGATTCTTTTTCTATACCGGTGTCGGCGTTTGTTGTTTGAATTGAGAAAATTGTTTCTTTTTGCTCGGCTTTACAATTGTTCAAACACATAAGTATATATGCTTTTTTGTATCTTTTCGAGTTGCGAATTTGTTTTGTTTTATGGTAAATTTTAGTGTTGTTTTTATTTCATATTTTTTTATGTTGTAGCATTTTCACGTGTTTTTCAATTAAAAAAAACTCTTTCTTAGAAAATAGTAATATATTTATTAGAGAAAACGATGATCATTCTACTTTTTGTCAAGTAATTGTATTTTTCTTCTAAATTATTTTTTGTGTGGAACAGGCTTTTTTTCAACATTCACTGCAATATTGAAAAAACATTTAGAAACTAAAAGAGATAAAAGTTAAACCTCTAATAAAAAGTTTAAGAATATACACTAGTAATAATAAATGGAAAAGACATTAATCATATAATGGTAATGGTGAAGACGTAACGTACAAAAAATGGGATCAATAAATGACGAAAATGGAAGTGTAGGGTTAAGTTTCTGTATCTAAAATAAATGAAACAGGCGCCGACATTAACTACATGCCATTTCCATTTATAAACTCTTATCCAAAAAAATTATTAACTCTCTTCTTTTCTCTATCTATCTTCTATAACCAAACCAACCTCTGTTTTTTTCATATGCTTATAACAAAAAAAAAATTAGGCCAATCTTTTCCAAAATATATAACCAACTTGGTTTTGTTTAATGGTTCTGATTTCTGAACGAGTCGTTGG